GTGTTCCTCTTTGCCACTGGTCTCCTGAAGGGGAATTCAGCAAAAAGGACGTGAGTGTGGAACACAATCCGTTACTTCCTCAATACTGTATACATGCAATATGAAAGCTAAAAGGCTTTTGTGATCGAGTGATTCCTAAATTCTTATCTTCAGCGCTGCAAATCTTTCCTTCCATCTGTAAACATAAACATCATGAAGATTTACACTGGCTAAGGATTTGACCCTTTATCACAGATCTTCATAATCTGATTTACTTAATTTTCAAGAATGAGTAAAATCTATACACCACTGGTACAAAATTTTCACATGGCACTTAGAGACCATAAACTGTGGAATAGTTCAAAAACAAAATAAAGTGGTTTGCAAATAATTATGGCATATTTGCTCCATTTTTATTTGTTGGGGGTCATATAATTAGCAGGTGGTGAGTATTCATGCCATGACTGGTTTATTTGAGGAAATACCAGGATGCCCCAAAATTTTGCAAGTTTTAGCACAATGAATGGGCTTTAAGATAGTTCATGCTGTGTGCGCACACAGTCATTTTTCATTATTCACTATTCACCTTTCGTAAGTATTTTAAAATTTTCTGTCATCTGGTCAAAGAGCAAAATCAATGCTAAGCATAAATAACAAACATTGGTAATAGAGACACTTTGTATGTGTATAGTTTGTGATGTGATTTGTTCACATAAATCTTGATCTAGCAGAGCACTTAGCACATGCATTATGCATAAGTGTAATAATATAGGTAATCTTTTTAAAAATAATATGTTGATTCATATATAAAGTTGCACATATAAGCAATCCAATATGTAGGTATTCATATGCTCAAAAATGTCACTGAATTGTGGCCTAAATTTGCAGTATGATTCTTAACAATTCATTCAGCTTTATAGTAGATGCAGTTATTGCTACATTTGCACTGTGTATGTGTACATACTTATACATGTATACACCATATGGGAATGTGATTGTTATATAACTCAAATATGAAAAGAGAATGACATTTTATTAGTAACAGTAAAAATTTGTTCAAAGAAAAGTGGAGAAGAATATATATGAAAAGAAAAATATGCTTGTATCCAGAGCATTGAAAACAATGCTCAAGGACAGTTTATCCTTGTGGAAAATACCCCCCGTAGAGCTGCTTAATCTGTTTGAAAATCATTTAGGAAAGAGTCCTTGCATTTGCCATTGTAGTTTGTTTTGGCTCTTGGTGTCCAAACTATTTTCCTAGTAAATGGCACGAAGTGCTTATTCCATTATTTCTGTTGTTGTATTTCTCAATACAGTGTGGTTATCTTGAGCTAGTGTCATGCTTTAGTACATTAGCACTAAAATACACTGATGCTCTTGTATAGATGTAAAGAGAGTGGAGGGAGACTGACATTGAACTGATACTTTGTACATTGCATCTACAGATTCCAAAGTCAGATGTTGCATTCAGCTTAAAATGAAGAAAGAATATGTGCATTTTTACAATCTGGTTTACAGTGGTGAAACCATGACCTGTGCTAATTCACATATTTCAAGCAAAGTCTATCCAAAGGCCTTGATTTGCTTCAGCAGCGCTAACTGATACATGGATGAGAGGTGGTTTAATCTGTTCCAGATTTATATCTTGCATGGCTATAACTTTCACACAATAAGCCAGCCTTTCTTCAGGTCCCATTCCATAAGTCTATTATGTGTTTTTTTGTCCATAAATAAAAGAATCAGGGAACAGAAACTTATTTAGACCCAAACATGCTTGAATTTCCTGTTTTTTCTTTTATTAAGATACTTTTTCAACTGAGACCCAACATCACTTGTGTTCTAACCACAATCACAAGGACAAACAGGCTTATTGGCAGGCACTGAAGAAGGGACAGATATGGAAGTGGACTTGGGATCTGTCACATTGCACATGTTGGATGTTGTGAGGATGGTGAAGAAAATACTCGATCATGTCACATAGACTTCAACTTCCTTTGCTCTTTGGATGAGTTAGAAATAAATATTTTTGTGTTCCTATCTGGTGACACTGAAGAGACTGCTGGGCTTAAGAGTTCATAAGGAGATTTTGGATTCTCTTATTTCATTCAGATGCCATCTGTCATTGTATTATATTCCTTCTCCTTACTCTGTGCTTCTATAACACCTACACTTTCCCTTTTCTTCTTGCTCTTTTTTCCCCTCAGCCCTTTTTCTTTTCCACTTCCACTCTCTTGCCATCCTTTCCCCATTTCACTCTGCCCATTCTCCCTTTTCTATGAAACAACTCCCGGAAATTTATATTTTGATTGGAAATTAAAATATAAAATGCTTTGTAAAAGTTAAAAATGTTATGGGTGCTGGGTGCAATACTGAGACCACTGATAATGTGTCTATGACTAATCCATTTGCAGGGGGTGTGTCCTGGATTTTTAATGATGTCTTTGGTCTCTGGCAGAAGTGGAAAGTTGAAATACAGCACCACTGGACCAGCCTGCAGCAACAAACAGAACGTATTGACACTAGAGTGAAAGAGTATTTTTGCTGTGAAATTTGGATGAGTTTTGGGGTCACCTAAAACATTTCACAAGTTTGTGTTGATTTTGGCAGATTGTTTCAGTAAAAAACAAACAAAAAGGAAATATCAAAAAGAACCATTTTAACCCTTCTGAAACAGCATTTTGATTTCTCATTTGATAATTAGTTCACAAAGCAGTGGTGGGCGCTTTCCTGATAAACTAGAGATTAGGAAACTCTAAGGCTCAAGATCTTGTGCCAGAACAGAGATTTGAATCTTTATCTCCCAGAAGAATGAAATAACGAGCAGATTATTGGCTTGTAATGGGGTTGGCACTCACGTCACATGAGCACCCCCATTTGGCCAAGTGTGGGTTCCTGCTCTGCCTCAATTTTTTAAATGCCTTGCAGCTACTCGCTCCTGCAGCTGAGTAACACAGCCTTGTGTGAAATCACAACCCCCTTCTGGGGTATACCTCTAACATATACCCATCCTGGTACCCTCTGTAGAGTGCCTCTCTGAATGCAATCTCTCCTTCTGTTTCCCCACTCATTAGGAGAGTGGTGTTTCCAGGGCTTCTCCTCCTGGAGATAGTATCCTAAACAGCTCCCCACTCTGAGCTGTCCTTGGTTCTGCCAGCCAGCCCCCTTGACCTTCCCCTTTTCAGGTTTGGGTTGCAACTGAGCTGCCTCTAGTCCTGCAGCTCCTCTTATATAGTCCCTCCTGGTTTCTGTTTGGCTGGTTCCTCCATGCCACTGTAGCTGCCTGAAGGACTTCTCTATGGCCCTTCGCTGGCCTTAGGGCCTAGCTCTATTACATGGTTATTCTAAATGGCATCTCTCTTAAGCTTTGCTATTCAAGCTATTCTACTTTGTAGAAACAATTACATGCTAATTGAAGCAGGGTTTAAATTTCTGGTGTCTTCCCGCACCCCTAATATGAGTGCAATTCATTTTCATTCAGAGGCACCATTAATAAGAGGAAGAGCTTTATCAGGAGACCTTGGCTATGTCTAGACTGCAGGGTTTTTTCGAAAAAAGTAGACTTTTTTCGAAAAAACTTCACCTGCGTCTCAACTACAGCTGCGTTCTTTCCAAATTAAATCGAAAGAACGTGGCTTTTCTTTCGACGGCTGCACTTCTCATTTCACGAGGAATAACGCCTTTTTTCGAAAGTGCTCTTTCGAAAAAAGGCACTATGTCATGCAAACTGTGCTTTTACAGACTGTTGGGTGCTCTCTTTCGAAAAAGCGGCTCACTTTTTCGAAAGAAGAAGTTGCAGTCTAGATGCTCTCTTTCAAAAGAAGCTTTTTTGAAAGTATCTTTCGAAAAAGCCTCTTTCGAAAGAGGCTTGCAGTCTAGACGTAGCCCTTGAGCGAGCCTCCTCTGTGAATATCCTAAATGCTGATGGTTAGGGCACTCATGGGATATGAGAGACCTAGGTTTAAATCTCCATGCCACAGTAGAATTATAAACTTGGATCTCCAAGTTTCATATGAATTTCCTAACCACTGGGCTATAGAATAGTGCGGGGCCAGGGAGGGAAGCACATATCTTTTCCCTCAATTTTGTAAAAGGTGTCAAAAAAGGTGTACCTTCATTTCCAACTTTGTTTTTATTGTTTTTACAAATTAAAAACATATGGCTCCTAATCTTGAACTAGAGTCTTCAGGATAGTTTCTGCAGTATCCAAAAAAGTGGTCCTAGTACTTAAGCATTGAATAGACCTGCTAGTTTATTGAATCCACCACTGTAAGAGGAGAATATGATTCCTAAATAAAGGATGTGTTAGATATTCTCCTGTTCGTTATGGCTCTAGTGTGATTAAAGATTAAGGTACCACTCGATGTGAGTAAGAGTGGCCAACTCTGGCCCTTAATGACCTATATCGCTGTTGATCCAACAACGAAGCCCCTATTGATTTCACTGGGAAGGCCCTGGCTATTCATAGATTCAGTGGCCAAAAGGGATCACTGTGATCATCTAGTGTGACTTCCTGAATAATAGAAATCCATCAAAGTAATTCTTAGGGGAGATGGTTTAGAAAAGTATCCAATCTTGATTTTAAAATTGTCCATATTAGAGAATCCACTGTGACCTTTGGTAAATTGCTCTTATGGTTACTTGTTCTCATTCTCAAAAATGCATACCTTATTTTCAGTTTTAATCTGTCTAGCTTCAACTTCCAGCTGTTGGAGTGTGTTATTTCTCCGTTGGAGAACACATTAAACATTTGTTCCCCATGTAGTTATTTGTATTCAGCATTCAATTTACCCCTGAATTTTCTCTTTAACTACATACACTGAGCTTTTTGATATCACTAAGGCATGATGTCTAGTCATTCTTTTGGTTCTTCTGTTAACCCTCTCTAATTTGTCAACATTCTTCTTGAACTGTGTGCCTCAGAACTGGATGCAATATTCCAGCAGCAGTTATGCCAGTACCAAATCAGGGGTAAAATAACTTCTCTGCTTCTATTCAAGATTCTTCTCTTTATCCATCCTCAGATCACATTAGCTGTTTTGGACATCTGTTTTCCAGCATCACATTGGAACTTCCTCTACAGCTGACTGTTCACCTTGACTCCCAAACCTTTATTCAGAGTCATTGCTTCCCAGGATTGAGGCTTCCATCCTGTAAGTATGACCTACATTCTTTGTTTCTAGATGTATACAGGTTCATTCTCTGGAGTGGCTCAGGGCACACAATCAAGAGCAGGGTAGAGACCTCAAATTAGATGTATGTTCTATAATTAGATGTCACCAACCCAGGCCATTTGCAGGAAGATTGATACTGTGGTGGTCGATCTTCCAGCATTCAAAGGACTAGTCACTTACCGCAGGTCAATTTGCACTGTAGATCTCACACCAGTGACAAGGCTCATAGCCAGTCCTATAGCAAACCATCTAAAGATTTATTAACTAAGAAAAGAAATGAGAGTTATTGCAAGGTTAAAGCAGGCAAACATATATACACAGATAAGTTAGTCTATAGTTTTACAAGTTGACAGAGTTCTAGTAATTTGTCAGCTGTGAATGTCTTTTAGCTATAACTCAGGTTGACCCTGAGAATCTTTGCATCAGTTTTATAGTTCTACCTCCCTGTAAGTCCAAATGACGAAAGAGATGAACTTTTCTGTCATCTTTTTAATTTCCTTCTTCCAGAATTCAAGTTGATGGGATGTGTCCTTTTGCATGTAACCTCTTCTTGAGTGTAAGCGGCAATTAACATTAACATTGTGATGTCTCAAAGTGGCCCATTTCGTTTTGATAGCTTTCTTGATGGGCAGGAGATGATCCCCTGACTGAGTTCATAGTTTCAGAGAAAACATTTTTTACAGTTACAGAACAAAAACTTATTTCTTTATCAAATGATAGGTTAAAATGTAAGTGAGATTAATGCATGAAGCAACTTCATAAAGTGTGAACACTAAGCAAATTGGATATTGGATTTATAATATTTTAATCATACTAATAAACCAGTGACCTGGATTGGTTTCTAACAATGAGTTTGTTAGTGTTTGACTGAGGCCTAAAGCCTTGGCAAGAGCTGACACCTGGTCTGCTGTGTGACATATAAATATGCCGACCAAATCTCCTGTCCCAGTGTTCCCATGCAGTAGTGAAATGTCCCAGAAACCTCTGAAGCTTGAAATGCTGCTATCAGAGGCTGTACACTGCTGTTTCCTCTTCCCCAGCTCAGGGAACAGGAGCGCAGGGACAGTACCCGCAGACATTTCCTGCTGCTGTTCCAGAATCCAGCCAATAGGAGCTGCGGGAGGCTGGGAGCTGCGCAAAAGCAAGTTAATGGCTCCCCTTTCCATCACTGCTGCTGGCAGGCTGCCCCAGGCAAAACTGGCTAGGTTGCTTGCTTATCTGCTGCCCTAGCTCCCTAAGCATGGGTGTTGGCTCCTGCAGCAGGGCTCTGTCCCAGCCCCACGCTCCAGGGGCTGCTGCAGGGGCTCTAGCCCTACATTTCTGCAGGCTGCCAGGGCATTCTGGCCCCAACCTGCTGTGGGGCTTCGGTCCCCTGAGGATATGGGCTGCTCAGGGACTCCAGCCCCAGCTCTGTGTTGCTGAAGGCTATCTGGGGCTCCAATCTCAGGCCTTCATTTCCAGAGTCTGCTGTGGGGTCCTGACCCCGTGCTTCTGGGGATTGTAAGGTGTTTCTGTCCCACGCTGCAGTGAGATTGCCCAAGAACTCCAGCCCCAGTGCCACACTGCTGCGGGCTATGGGGGCTCCAGTGCTGCCTGAAGCTGACCCTGTTTTCCCCAGCCGTGGCTGTCCCTCCTGCCCTCAGGCTCCCAAGCTCTATAGTCCAGGAGCATCCATGGTCCTGCCACACCACACGTTGTTGGACCAGAGAATGCCTGTTTTTTAGAGTTACTTGTAACACCTCTCTCTGTTATATCTAGCTAAAGAAAAAAATCATCATAACCAGGGCTCGCCGAACTGCGGTGAGCCCCGCTTACCAGCCGCGCTGTCCGGCGATTTGAGCATGCGCAGATCGTTCTGCGTATGCGCAGATTGCCCGAACTCGGCTCTTCCGGGTTGCAATCCACTCGCCATGGGTGAGTAGATTGCATTATTTGTCGAGCCCTGATCATAACCATAACAAGGGGGGAGGGAAGAAGGCAGAGAGTGAGGGGTGGAGGTGTGGAGCAGCAGTAGAGGCAGCAGCATGAAGAGGAGACCTGGGCTGGGGAGGTAGCATGATGTCCGTGGTGGTGGCCTTCTTGTCCCAGTGTGGCTTGCAGGGGGACCTGCTGGTCACCCAGGACTTTCAGAGGAGACTGCAGGGCTGCAGAAACCTCTAAATGAAGGACCTTCTGGGCCACTTCAGCTGTGTCAGTGCCATTGAATTCTCCAATAATGGTGGCTAATGGTTGATCTCAGGCTAAAAAAAAAAACATCCTCCCAAGTCTTTGCCAGCCCCTCTCTCCCAGCATCTTGCCTCCCTTCCCCATGCTCACCCGGGGAAGGGAGGATCGTGGTGGCATTTCCAGCAAGGGACTAGTGCTCTCTAAGGAAGGATATAAAATGGTTGACAGGTTTGCATCCCATTTTTGTTTTATTTTATTTGGGGGCAGAGTCTGCAGGAAAGTGTTTGGCATGCGGGGTGGGCGGAGGCACAGGGGTACATGTAAATGTGCTTTATTGCATGGTGAAAGCCTTGGGAGCCAGGTGGGCTGAAATTGTCAGGGCCCAGTGACATGCCCCACAAGCATCTGGGGCAGGGGCAAGTATGGGTGGTACTGTGGTACAAGTCACTAAGTGGGTAGTTGGTGGGCAGGCACATGCTGTGGACGCTATAGGCCTGCCCTAGCTGAAGGGTTGCAGTATGGCACCCTGCTGGGGTGGATGGATCTGGGAGGCTTGGGACACTTCTGGGGCCCTGTTTGGGAGGACGGGGCCATTGGCTGGGGCTTTCCCCCCTCAGTGCCCATGCCTGGCTTCATGGAGGCCAGCCGGTAAGTGGGACTGGGGAGCACGTGCTATCAGGTAGCGGGGGAGGCATTGGCTTGATGTTAACTGTCATCTGGGGGGGAAAAAGCCGTGAGGCTCCGCGTGCAGGTATTCCCAGGGCTAGCACAGGTGCTTTTCCCCCCTGCGGTGCTTCAGCCTCTCCCCTTCCACGCAGAGGGTGAGGGAGCAAACTCTAGGCTGGGGCTTTGCTGGGAGCTGCAGGCCTCACTCTCCTGGATGCCTCGTAGCGACAGGCCAGGGAATCGATGGTCTGTTCTGTCCAGGGAAAGGGAGGCTGGGTCAGGTTCCCCAGCATACAGACCCTCCCTGCTGGAGTGGGGGTTGCAGTTCCCCTCCCTAGCCCGAGACTCCTAACCATAGTGGGGAGGGTCACAGCGCCCCTGGGAATGGAGAGGATCTAGTGTCCAGTTGGTGTAAAGAAAGGGCAGGCAGCTCCTCCTTCCCAGCCATGGACCAATGACTAAGGGGTGGATGGGAAGAGGTTATGGCTCCCCACTGAAAGCCAATGTCCTCCAGATTGGAGTGTGTCACAGCCCCCCACCTTTCTCCCTCTGTGTGGATGGGGCCGGGGGTATCACTGTTTTCCTCCTGCTCCAGGCAGCCAACCTTCCCAAAATGGGAACACCAGAGACAGGAGTCACACTTCCTCTTACTGGCAGTCAGGGCCTTCCAAACTATGTGTGCATGTTGCAAAAAGCCGTATACCCTGTGGGGTGCAAAAGGGGATTTGCTCTCCTGTTTCATGAAAGACTATAAAATCATCAGGGCTCTATGGGAAGCCTGCTCCCCACCCCATCTAACTTGGGAAAGTACCTGCACTTTTCCTATTGACCACAGATTGAATGAGGAGAGGTCCATAAGTCTGTCCTCTGTAGTAAGGATCACAAGGATTTGATGCTTCCCCATGGCAGGTGTGTCTGTTGGTGCAGGGTGCATCCAAAGGTGTATGGAGGAGAGAGAGAATGTGTGTGTGTATGTGTATGTGCTAAAGAGCATGTGCGGGCAGTGTGTTATGTTGCAGACCAAAGGCAGCAGACTGCAGTAGTTTGGTGGAGGGCAGGTACATTGTGAGTTAGCTGCATGGGTTCCTGTTCCCTGCATACGCTTCCAGAGGCTGCTGCTCAGCAACCAAGACAGACAGTCCCCTGAGACTCATTTAGAGCCCTGCTGCAGCAGCAGGCTAACTGGACACCTGCAGCCAGTTAGGGCCTGCTGATCCCCTATAAAAGGCTTCCCCTCAGGTAAGGAGAAGGAAGAAGAGGATGTGCAGACTGGAGGAGAACAGAATGTTGCAAGCGGGAGAAGGTACTATGGGAGTGGTTGGGGAAATGGACACAGAGGAGATATTAGAGGGGTCACATGACACGCTTTACTTCTGGTCATGTGTCAATCTTGACCCCCGAAAGTATCACAACCAGGGGCGGAACTTCCTGAGGCAGGTGGGCGTGGTTAATTGGGTCAAGGGGCATGGCTAACAAAACCAAGTGACTAACATTTTATTGATGGTAGGGCCCTTATATCATGTGTCCCCATTTTTGGTTTCGAAGATATGGTAACCGTACATGTAAATCTACATTCAGCTATATTATAATGCATATTGTTTATTTGTGTCTAGTTTACCAAGCGATCCAGATTGCTCTGAGTTAGTGATCTGTCCTTCATTGTTTACTATTCCTCCAATTCTTGTATTAGCTACAAACCTTATCAGTGATGCTTTTATGTTTTCTTCCATATCATTGATTAAAAATGTTTAAGTACTTAGAGCCAATAACTGATCCCTCTGGGACCCACAAAGCTGCTTGATGATGATTTCCCATTTGTAGTTACCATTTGAGACCTATCAGTTAGCCAGTTTTTATTCCATTTAATGTGTGGCATGTTCATTTTATGTTCTAGTTTTTTAATCAAAATGTCTTAAGGTACCAAGTCAAATGTCTTTCCAAAATCTATGTATAGCATGTCAACATTATTACTTTTATAACTCAAATTTGTAATCTCATCAGCTTAGTTTGACAGGATTTGTTTCCCATAAATCTATGTTGATCTGCATTAATTCCACTTCCATCTTTTAATCTCTTAATTGAATCCATGTCAGCCACTCCCTTATTTTGCTTGGAATTCATGTCATGCTGACAGGCCTATATTTATA